TGCCTCAATTGCTTCTATTTCCTCTACCAGAGGCTCCTCATTCTTTTCCACTATGTGGCTGCTGCTCTGCTGGGACCCTTTCCTTGCCCACAAAAGTTTCCTTTCCGAAACTGATAATTTTCTCCACGAGCTCAGATTTTTGCCTAAACATCGAGTCTCACAGAGACAAAATTCTCTTCAATCTTGCATAGTTTAATTAAGCACACACGTGCTCACTGAAATCAAATTGTCTCAGATTAATTTGAAACCTCTTTTTTCCCACCCCCTTTAATTTATTGTTTTTTAATTATCCTTTTTCAGGTGCCAAATGCAGATTCCTGTCTAACTTCAAAGCAAATACAGAAAATGAAACAAACCACACAAACCTCAGAGTATTTTCAGCATGATTTAGCAGCTCATCTACCAGGATCTTGTCTGGCATCACTAAATAGCTGCTGCTCACTCGTGTGTGGAAAGGGCCTTGGTGTCTTTGGATGCACATTATTTTGGTTAAATAACCTCAACAGTTTCATCATGGAGACTTAAAATGGAAGAGTTTAAGCTGATGTTTCACAGCTTGAGACAATATCCACTGGAAAAATCATGCAAACTTCCTCCTTGATATTTGGAGCAAAATGTTTTGTTTCACTGGAGCTGTGATGGTTGAACAGTTTTGGGTGCAAATTTTTGGAATTGCTTCTGGGAGCCAAGATTTTAACAGACTGCAGCTTAACATGAAATAATCTAAGGGGGAATGGAACTAGATGAGCTTTAAGGTCCCTTCCATCCCAAATCATTCTGTGATCCTATGGTATTATAAGGAATCAGAATATTAGGGGTTGGAAGGGACCTCCAAAGATCATTGAGTCCAACCCCCCTGCCAGAGCAGGACCAAAAACTAGGGCAGATCACTCAGAAAGGCAACCAGATGGGTCTGGAAAGTCTCCAGAGAAGGAGACTCCACAGCCTCTCTGGGCAGCCTGTCCCAGGGCTCTGTCACCCTCACAGGCAAGTTCTTCCTCATGTTGAGCTGGAACTTCCTGGGCTCCAGTTTGAATCCATTGCCCCTCGTCCTGTCCCAGGGCACAAGTGAAAAATAAATTATAAAATAAGCCTGGAGTGAAACAAACCACACAAGTCCAAGTCAGAGAAACACACCCCAGATTTTTTTAAGACAAGTGAACCATTTTGCTAGATTTTTTTGCTTAGGAATAGTTTGGTCTATGGATCCAGAATCATATTTCCCCCCCCCCTACTTGTCTTCTTCTGGAAGAACAATCAAACAAAAATAACCCCAGTATTTGTATGACTTCATTTCAAAGGTTCAAACACTATTTCACAGCTCTGCTGCAGGATACTTCTCAACAGTGCTAGAAATACCATCAAGATGGGGATATGAAGTGGAATTGAACAAGATGATGAATTTTGAAGGCAGTTAAAGAAACTCGTAATACAGAAGAGAAGTCAAACCCTGTCACTGTGACCTTAGGCATATAAATACAGAGGAGCAGAACAAACTGGGCCCTCTTGTGATGTGCTGGATGTGAAATGGGCTCTCCTGGGGCTCTCCTATCTTGACAAGACAGTTGGAATTAGCAGCTTGTTCCTTTTAATTCAGACAGCTCTGTCAAAAGGGCACAGTCAGCTCCATGGCAGGGAAGGAGCTGCAGGAGCCCAAGGAGGAAACTGGACCCTGCAGCAGCTTTGTGTCCCCATGGCAGGCCAGATCCAGCCACCAGCTGCTGCTAAAATGTTCTGGCAGAGGAGGGAATGGCCCAAAGTGTTTTCTAGGAGGAAAGAGGTTGGTTTGGATAAGCAGGGCTCTGAGGTGGGGCAGTCAGACCGTGCCCTAGAGATGTGGGGTGTAGGTACTTATGGTATGAGCTCGGAAGCTGAAGCATCATGAGAAGTTGCAACCAAGCTGGGGAGGGGTGGTGGGTAGCAAGGGCACCAAGGTGAACCTACACTGTCCAGGGAAAGCAGGGCAAGGTTTAGCACCAGTTCTAGTGGCAGAGAGGTGTGTTCGTGCCTTCTCCTGCCTCATGTCCTTGGTTTGCAGGGCACAGGGGGTCTCAGGGACACTCCTCAAGTTTCTCTGGGCAACAGCATCCATCTTTGGTTCTGGCCAGGAAAATGTGGCTCTAGAGATGCACAAGCAGGCTCTGAGCAGTGGGGACTGGGGGCTGAAGGTGGCTGCAGTGCCCTGCCTTCAGCAGGCAGCCTGGTCCAGGCAGCCCTGCACACACCAGACACCCACGTGCATCTGTAAGTAGCACAGTGTGGGAGGCAGAGAGAAAACTGTTAACCAGCTTAGCAGAATCCCTCACTGCTCTCCAAAGAGCTCCTGGGTGGGACAGCAGGTGAAGAAGGGCTCCAACTAAACCTTTAGGATCTCTTCTTATTGGGTCTTCCTTCAAATCTAGGCTTCCTCTCTGGCAGTGTTGAAGGGCAGGTTGGATGGGGCTTGGAGCAACCTGGGCTGGTGGGAGGTGTCCCTGCCCATGCAGGGGGTTGGAACTGGATGGTCTTGAAGGTCCCTTCCAACCCAAACCATTCTGAGGTTTTATATTCTCTTTGCTGTTTGGTCTTTAAACAGTTCCCACTGGAGACTCATACAATGCCACAACAACCTCTCCTGCTCCTCTGTGCAATCCCTCCTCTAACTGTTAGGACATGAGCTTGGAGAACATCTGGACACATCACTGTTCTTCTGGACAACCTCTCAGTCCCTTGGGACATCCCCAGTGGGCTTGAGCCAGTTTCCCTGCTGTGAATCACTGGCTAAACAAGGAGGCCTTTGGTCTACACAGGGAAAGCAGGTATGAAAAGAAATAGGAGTGAAATTTTCATTAAAAAGAAGGGATGTGAGAGCACAGAAGATTTCACAGGAGAATCGTGGTATCATGGAAACCTTGGTTGCTGAGCCAAACCAGGCCAGCAGTCAGCCAAGACATCCCACAGCCAACTCATGGAGTCATCACACTGTGTGAAGTTACAAGAGGTGGGACTTGCACCACTTCTACACTTGGTAAAGAAAATCAGTAGAGGAGGGAGGGCTTGGAAGCCCTTTCCAGAGCTTCTGAGCAGTCTGGCTTTGAGAAGGGAACCCCACTAGAAGACACTCAAACGACTGACCCTACAGAGCTGATACCATCTGTAAATGGGCAAGAGTTTGTGGGGTTGCAAATCAAGGTTGTTCACAGTGTCACAGTATCACTCTGGTTGGAAAAGACCTTCAAGACCATTGAGTCCAACTACTACCCCAACTCTGCCACATCCAGCACTAAACCCTGGCACCACGTCTGTCTTCTTAGATGTCTCCAGGGATGGTGGCTCAACTGCCTCCTCAGACAGCCTGGATCACCCAGTTCAACTCCTGCCCCAGAACAGGACAACCCCAAAGTTCACACCGTGTCCCTGAGGGTGTTGTCCAAATGTTTACTAACATTGTCAGGTTCTGTGCCATTACTGCTTCCCTGGGGAGCCCATTCCAGTGCTCCAGCACCCTCTGGGTGAAGAATCTCTTCCCAATGTCCAACCTAAACCTCCCTCTCTACATCTTCCTACCATTAAGGGCAAGTATCAGGAGGACAGAGCCAGGCTTTGTTCAGTGATGTCCAGTGACAGGACAAGGGGCAGTGGGGACAAACTGGAGCACAGGAGGTTCCATGTGAATCTCAGGAAGAACTTCTTTGCTGTGAGAGTGACAGAGCCCTGGGCCAGGCTGCCCAGAGAGGCTGTGGAGTCTCCTTCTCTGGAGACATTCAAACCCACCTGGCCATGTTCCTGTGTGATGTGCTCTGGGTGCCCCTGCTCTGGCAGGGGGGCTGGACTGGGTGATCTTTCCAGGTCCCTTCCAACCCCTGAGATTTGGTGGTCAGCAGAGAGAGGAGGTCAGCTTCTCCTCCTCCTCCTCCTTCCCTAAGGAGGAAGCAGCAGCTGAGATGAGGTCTCCCCTCAGTCTCCTCTTCTCCAGGCTGAGCTGATGCAGCAAGGTTGGTCAGGAGAAGAGAGGACTGCAGGGAGACAAGTCCCACCAGCACAGAACAGAGCTTTAGAGTCAAAACGACCAAAAGATTTACACAATGAGGAAACCAGACTATGGTTTGGTTTGGTTGGTATTTTTTTAAAAGAAGGATACATCACTCAGTGTGTTTTTCAAGCTTGCTGGACATGGTACTGAAGCACTGTGAAGCTGTCAGAGAAATCAGAGACCTTCTTCCTGTTGTCAGGACGTGCTTTTACGGAGGCAAATGATGGACACACATCACTTGTCTGGGCAGGAACTGCAAAAACCCACCCTCCATCACTGTCTTTGCCCACTGGTCGCTGCCCTGTCCTTGATGTTCCTCTGTTTTTCCTTCTTTCCAGTGCTGCAGCGTGAGGTGAAACGGGGTCACTGGTGTGACTGCCCTGACGTGCAAACCTGGGCATGAAGGAGCTCAGTGTGTAAAACACGATCACGTTGGTGGGAAGAGTTTGTAGAAGCTGGGATGGCAGGAGGGCTCAGATCTACAGCAGAGCCTACAGCTGCTGTCATGTCCAACAGAGAAGTCCAGCCAGTGTCATCTTTACATGGCATTGTGTGTCCTCCACAGACCTTAGAGCCCTTTTTGAAGGTGGAGAGCCACAGTCTTATCAAGTTCTTGGGGGATTTTTTGGGGGTTTGGTTGGAAGGGCTGCTTTTTCTTGTGGTTTTTTTGTTACCAGAGGGGGAGACTGAGGCACAGAAAGGTGGTGTGACTTGCCCACAGTTGGTGGTAGACCTTGAACCCCCCCTTGGTCTCGCTCATGGCTTCTCAGCTCCCACCTGGGTGAGAAGGAAGGGTTGCCCTCTTGTTCCCAAGGCAAGGGGAACTGCAGCTCCTCCTGGGGAAGGGGGGAGAGAAGAAAGGGTGTCACTCTCAGCGGAGATGTCGGGAAGGGGGACGACGGCACCCGGGGCTTCTGCCAGTGCTGAGAAGCAGGGAACCTGACGTGGAGAGGCCGGAGCCTGTCGGTCAGGCACCGAGGATGTGGCTCTAGAGGATGCCTTCGTGCCTCTCTGTGGCCTTCAGGGCCTCGTGCATGCTGGCGGCCGAGAGCCTCCTGTTGATGTTCCTGTACCTGCACCTCAGGAGGTTCCAGAATGTAGTCCTCAGGTCCCGGTTAAAGAAAGCATAGATCAAGGGGTTGATGAGGGAGTTGGTGTAGCCCAGCCAGAGCAGGGTCCTCTCCAGCCTCAGGGGCATGCAGCTGCAGCGGATGCCGCAGATGAAGGGCCGAGCCGTGGACATGAGGAAGAAGGGCAGCCAGCAGAAGGTGAAAGCCCCTACGATGACGCCGAGGGTCCTGGCCGCCTTCTGCTCCCTCTTGAAGATGGAGATGTTCTTGCGGTCCTGGCGCAGCAGCTTGGAGAGCGCGGCGCACTCCCTGCGGGAGCCGCGGCCCGAGCTCTCCAGGCAGGGGACGCCTTCCCCTCCCGGGTGCCTGGGCAGGTCCATGAAGCGGTGCTTCTCGGCGCTGGCCTTGGCCGCCTGGTAGATCCGGGCGTACATGACCAGCATGACGGCCGTGGGGATGTAGAAGGCCACCCCCGTGGAGTAGACGGTGTAGCCGAAGTCCTGGCTGATGAGGCAGACCCGTTCCACCGTGACGTTCTGGGCCCAGCCGAAGAGGGGAGGGAGGGTGATGGAGGCTGAGAGGAGCCAGACGATGAAGACCATCTTGGCCATCAGCTTCCCGTTCTGCCTCACGGGGTAGGTCAGCGGCCGGGTGATCCCCAGGTACCTGGCAGAGGTGCAAAGGGTTAGGAGGGGCAGGAGGTGCTGTCGGGGTGGTTGGCGCCCCGGGCCAGCTGTTAAAGCTTCACCGAGAGGGTGAATTTCAGGAGGAGAAGTGAATTCCCCCAGTGGGAGCTGCTGTGGAATCTTCTGCGGGATGTGTGTCACACCCCTGGAGCTCTCCTGAGCCCAAACACCCTGCTCTGCCTGTTCCCCGCTGTTCTTACAACCCGGGGGTGTCATGTAGCTGCTCAGGGCAGTTCCTGGGGGACACAAAGGGTTCAGAAAGCTCAGTTTTCAGAGAATCATGGAAGGGTTTGGGTTGGAAGGGACCTTCAAGACGATCTCGTCCCCCCCTCCTGCCACAGGCAGGGAACAGCTGCCACCAAAGCTCCATCCACCACCCAAGGGTGTGTCTGGATGGGGACAGAGAGCAAAGCGAGGTGATCAGGTGATGGACCGAGGTGCAAGTCTGGCAGGTGGTGACCCACACCTTCTTCCATCTGATGGGCTGTGTGTTTGCATCTTGCAGCACACGCTGCTGTCAGCAGATCCCCCCCATCCCTCCCCTACCCATCCAGCTTGCAAACCTACAGGTTCCTGCAACATCTTCTGGGGGTCACAGAATGGTTTGGGTTGGATGGGAACCTTTATAGATCATCTAGTTCCAACCCACCTCTGGAAAGCAAGACAAACAGCTGGAGCAGTTTGCTCCCTGGCATGACCCAGAGCTCCTGAAGTGCTGGTGTCCACCCCTCCCTGGGGAGTAAAATGAAAGGAGCTCTGAGCAGGGGCTCCCATAAGCACGTGGTGACCCACAGATTCACCAGTCCTGATGCCTGGAGTTAGGAGTTACCTGGTTAGATTGACTGGAAGGAGCTGGAGGCTGCATGACCCACCAGCTCCTGGATAGACCATGGGATGTGATTTTGAACCATCCCAAGCCTTGGCTGAGAGAGGTCATGTGAGTGAACAACTGTGTTAGTTGGGAAATTACCCCTGGAAATTAAGGAGTCAGTTTGGAGTTGGCCATGGGCCAGTTCTTTGCTGAAGGACTTGAGCCTGCTGTTCAGACTCAATCATTCCAGCAAAAGCTTCTGGCTGTCAGGTGGGTTCCTTCCCTGTTGCAGCCTTTGTGATCCCACCTGCCTGTTGTCAGGAATTTCCAGGCATTTTTAGACAGGGTCACATCACCTCTGGAGTGTTTTGGGGATGCTGCATCAGTCCAGAGGGGTGGTGGGAACAGTGTGGGAGAGTTGGGGTGTTCAGCCTGGAGAAGAGAAGGCTCCAGGGAGACCTTAGAGCACCTTCCAGTGCCTGAAGGGGCTCCAGGAAAGCTGGGGAGGGGCTTGGGACAAGGGCAGGGAGGGATGGGATGAGGGGGAATGATTATAAACTGAAAGAGGGGAGATTTAGGTGAGACAGGAGGAAATTCTGTGCTGTGAGGGTGGTGAGACCCTGGACCAGGTTGCCCAGAGAAGCTGTGGCTGCCCCATCCCTGGCAGTGTTGAAGGGCAGGTTGGATGGGGCTTGGAGCAACCTGGGCTGGTGGGAGGTGTCCCTGCCCATGCAGGGGGTTGGGACTGGATTGTCTTGAAGGTCCCTTCCAAACTTAATGATTCTATGATATCTATGGGAACAGCAGCTCTATGGAGATGTTTTGCTGAAAGCCTGTCCAGGGAAGAGCAGGCTTTTCTGCCAGAAGAAGAATTTCTGCAGAGAATTTCACTTCTGCTTGTGCTGTTATTTTTCCCCCAACAATCAGTCTCACTGGAGGTGTTTGATGTTTTCTTCCCTGTTTTCCTTTTCCAGATTCTCATCCAAGATTGGAAGAAGAAGGAAATGAAAGAAAAATAATCCAATTCCTCCTCCCTTCCTGACTGCAAAATAAATTCAAAGCCCTGACTCTGTGATAAACCGAATTTGAATTCATTCACTGAGTTATTCTTGTCCTATTTTTCTTCTCCCCAGCAAAGCTCTCCAAGACCATTGATGCTGCTGGGACATCAGAAAGAGGTACAGGCTGAAGGACAACACTCATGGGTGCAAAGGCAACACAACCTCTCAGGAAAGGGCTTTTCACCCCACCACCCTGTGGGTCTCTGTCTGTGAAGGATTAGACCTGATGAGATGGACAACAGAGCTAGTTTTGGTGCTGTCCTTCTAAAAGATACCACTGAATCCATCCTCCTTGGGCCAAGTGATGAGCCTGGCTCAAAGGTCATAGAATTATAGAATAGCTTGGGCTGGAAGGGACATGTAAAGCTCATCCAGCCCAACCCCCCTGCAGTGAGCAGGGACATCTTCAACTAGACCACGTTGCTCAGAGCCCTGTCCAACCTGACCTGGGATGTTTCCAGGGATAATGGGGCATCTCCCACCTCCCTGGGCAACCTGGGCCAGGGCTTCACCACTCTCAGTGTAAAATATTGATTCCTAATATCTATGCTAAATCTCCCTTCTGTTAGTTAAAAACCATCACCCTTTGTCCTCATCTTTCATATCAGCCCCTTTTAAATAATGAAGTGCTCTAAGGTCTCCCTGGAGCCTTCTCTTCTCCAGGCTGAACGTTCAGCCTGGAGAAGAGAAGGCTCCAGGGAGACCTTAGAGCACCTTCCAGTGCCTGAAGGGGCTCCAGGAAAGCTGGGGAGGGGCTTGGGACAAGGGCAGGGAGGGATGGGATGAGGGGGAATGATTATAAACTGAAAGAGGGGAGATTTAGGTGAGACAGGAGGAAATTCTGTGCTGTGAGGGTGGTGAGACCCTGGACCAGGTTGCCCAGAGAAGCTACTTAATGATTCTATGATATCTATGGGAACAGCAGCTCTATGGAGATGTTTTGCTGAAAGCCTGTCCAGGGAAGAGCAGGCTTTTCTGCCAGAAGAATTTCTGCAGAGAATTTCACTTCTGCTTGTGCTGTTATTTTTCCCCCAACAATCAGTCTCACTGGAGGTGTTTGATGTTTTCTTCCCTGTTTTCCTTTTCCAGATTCTCATCCAAGATTGGAAGAAGAAGGAAATGAAAGAAAAATAATCCAATTCCTCCTCCCTTCCTGACTGCAAAATAAATTCAAAGCCCTGACTCTGTGATAAACCGAATTTGAATTCATTCACTGAGTTATTCTTGTCCTATTTTTCTTCTCCCCAGCAAAGCTCTCCAAGACCATTGATGCTGCTGGGACATCAGAAAGAGGTACAGGCTGAAGGACAACACTCATGGGTGCAAAAGCAACACAACCTCTCAGGAAAGGGCTTTTCACCCCACCACCCTGTGGGTCTCTGTCTGTGAAGGATTAGAACTGATGAGATGGACAACAGAGCTAGTTTTGGTGCTGTCCTTCTAAAAGATACCACTGAATCCATCCTCCTTGGGCCAAGTGATGAGCCTGGCTCAAAGGTCATAGAATTATAGAATAGCTTGGGCTGGAAGGGACATGTAAAGCTCATCCAGCCCAACCCCCCTGCAGTGAGCAGGGACATCTTCAACTAGACCACGTTGCTCAGAGCCCTGTCCAACCTGACCTGGGATGTTTCCAGGGATAATGGGGCATCTCCCACCTCCCTGGGCAACCTGGGCCAGGGCTTCACCACTCTCAGTGTAAAATATTGATTCCTAATATCTATGCTAAATCTCCCTTCTGTTAGTTAAAAACCATCACCCTTTGTCCTCATCTTTCATATCAGCCCCTTTTAAATAATGAAGTGCTCTAAGGTCTCCCTGGAGCCTTCTCTTCTCCAGGCTGAACACCCCAACTCTCCCAGCCTGGCTCCAGAGCAGAGCTGCTCCAGTCCTTGGATCATCTCTGTGGCCTCCTCTGGACTCACTCCAGCAGCTCCATGTCCTTGTGCTGAGGGTTCCAGAGCTGAACCCAGCCCTGCAGGGGGGTCTCACCAGAGCAGAGCAGAGGGGACAATTCCCTCCCTGGCCCTGCTGGTGACACAGCCCAGGACACATTTGGTTTCTGGGCCCCAGCACATGGTGCCAGCTCATGTTGAGCTTCTCATCAACCATCACCCCCAAGTTCTTCTCCTCAGGGCTTCACCCCCAGTCTGTACTGGTCCTGGGGACCTTGGCCTTGTTGAATTCAGACTGATGGGTTGGGAGCAGCTGGGAGGGATCCTGCCCAATGCCCTGCTGCTGTAGGAAGGGACTTTGCAGGGAGGCCACACTTCATGTCCCCTGGGCTGGAAGAAAACCATGCCCTGCTGTAGCATCTCCTAATTCAGCACCCCAAAAATCACTTCTTCTTATAACCAAGCCAAGAGCTTTGCAAATTAATATACACTGTGATGCATGATACCCTTCATTATTATTATTATTTTAAATTATTATTATTATTCTATTACTGGGTTCCCTTGGGAAGATGATCCACTCAGGATTTGCTGAAACCTGAACGAATTTACACCCTGGCCAAGCAAAATGCACAGTGACAAGGTGTAAGAAGCAGGCAAAGCTGACCTGTTTCATCTGGGAGCTCCTCGTGCAGCCACTGCTGGAGGAAACAGGGCCCCTTTGAGGTCTTTACTGATAATATTGCTGAGAACAGGAAGACCTCAAAATAGGCCAGTGGATACAGGGGGAGAAAAGCAGGATTGCACAGAAATGCAATGAAATTCAGATCAGTTTCTATTGCTTTTATCCTTTTTTTTTTTTTCTTTTAATGTGTATGTTGCTGTTAATTGAGTTTAGAGGTCACCAAGCAGCAGCCATTTCCCAGGGCAGTGATTTAGGGGGGTCTTTGTGCCACTTTGGAGGATCCCCAGCCCTGCAGAGCTGATGGTGGAATCCCTCAGTCCTTGGGCAATAAAATCCTGCCATGTCCTTGCTCAGCCCTGGCCATGGGGCAGGAGATCTGCCCCAGGGTGGGCTCCACCATCAACCCCATGGATTAACCAGGTCAGTTCACTTATTCTACACCCAGAAGGAATTGCCAGGGATTAAATAATAATAATAATAATAATAATAATAATAATACCAAAACCAAACCAATCGTCTCCAAGATGCCCCTTTAGGGTGAAGATAGAGCAAGGGGAAATTGTTTCAAGCTGGAAGAGGAGAGATTTAGGTTGGAGATTTAGGAGGAAATTCTTCAATATGAGGGTGGTGAGACAGTGGAACAAGTTTCCCAGAGAAGCTGTGGCTGCCCCATCCCTGGCAGTGTTGAAGGGCAGGTTGGATGGGGCTTGGAGCAGCCTGGGCTGCTGGGAGGTGTCCCTGCCCATGCAGGGGGGTTGGATCTAGATGGTCTTGAAGGTCCCTTCCAACCCAAACCAGCCTGTGACTCTATGATTCTGTCTCCATCCTGTAGCTGGCAAACTGGGAAAGGACAAATTTCCACCCACACAGGTTAGTTGAGCCCAAAGGAGCTCAGAATTGGGGTTTCCTGGACCTCCCTGCTTTATCACCACCCCGTGTCTCCTCAGGGCCTCAGCTCTGCATCTCTCTTCCCAGCTGACCCTGTGCCTGCCCCATCCTGGTGAGGGAGAGAAATACCCCAGGTGGAGGATGCAAAGGGCAGCTGGAGGCTGCAGCTCCCTGTGGTTTCATGTGTCCCTGCCCAAGACATGGGTGGTGGGAGCATCCCAGGGATGCATTCCAGCCTGGGACACGTTAGGATGAAGGACACAGCAAGATGCTCTGCAGGGCTTATCCCACCAGCTCTTTTGGGACACACCCTTTTCACTGAGGACGATGCCAATTTGGAGCATTTCATCTGATTTCAGGCAAGAAACACCTTTTTTTGTATGTTTGTTTGTTTGTTTAAGGGAGAGTCTCAGTGGAGCTGCTTGGGAAAGGGATGGAGACTTTTTCCTCCACTAGGAAAACCTGAAGTGCTATGTGGGGTATGGGGGAACTTCTTTTTTCAGCTGCTTGGCACTTTTATGGAAAGCTTCCACAGAAGCTGAACAGCCAAAATGCTTATTTTTTCCCCTGTGCTTTTGTTTTTGGTTCATGGCAATAAAAAATCCATAGCACTGGCAGGCTTTTATGGAAGAAAAATGGGCAGGAAAGATGGATTTTTTCCAGCATTTTTCTTTTTTGATTTAAAAGAAAATCAATCAAACCTCCCTTCAGAAGAGATTGGTTCTTACCAGCTTCAATCAAGAGGCTTTTAGAAAGTGCTCTGCATTAATAACCAGTAATAGCAGCCTACATTTTAATTGTACCTTCATCTTGGGCAAGCCAAGCATCTTTCATATCTAAGCTAAGAAAAGCACGTGGACACTTCAGCCACCAGTACAATCACCCCCTCTTCTTTGGCAGAAGAAGGCACCTACCAATCAGTGCTGGCCAAGTTGGAATTCAGGACAGAACAAGAGGAGATTCTGGCCAGAAGACTGAGGAAGGTGATTTTCCCCTTCTACTCTGTTCTTGTAAGACCCCAGCTGGAGAACTGTGTCCAGCTCTGGAGCCCCCAACACAAGAAGGACATGGAGCTGTTGGAGAAAGTCCAGAGGGCTGGAGCAGCTCTGCTCTGGGGACAGGCTGGGAGAGTTGGGGTGTTCAGCCTGGAGAAGAGAAGGCTCCAGGGAGACCTTAGAGCAGCTTCCAGTGCCTGAAGGGGCTCCAGGAAAGCTGGGGAGGGGCTTGGGACAAGGACAGGGAGGGATGGGATGAGGGGGTTTAGTTTCAAATTGTAAGAAGAAGATTTAGGTGAGACATGAGGAGGAAATTCTTTGCTGTGAGGGTGGTGAGAGCCTGGCCCAGGCTGCCCAGAGAAGCTGTGGCTGCCCCATCCCTGGCAGTGTTGAAGGGCAGGTTGGATGGGGCTTGGAGCAACCTGGGCTGCTGGGAGGTGTCCCTGCCCATGCAGGGGGGTTGGAACTGGATGATCTTGAAGGTCCCTTCCAACCCAAACCAGTCTATCATTCCATGAATCTATGATTCGGGGGAAGGGGAAAGGGAAGAGAAGGGAACTGGAAAGCAAAGAGGAAAAGAAAGGAAAAAGGAAAGGGAATTTTCCAAAGCACAGCCCATCTGCTCAGCGTGTATCTCCCTGCTGCTCAAGAGGCAGCTCTGACATGTGTCACTACTGCATTTCTTCCCTCTAGCAGGGCCAGACCTCTGCCAGCTCCCAATGCACCTGCTTTTTTTAGGCTCTTCATTAGCACAGAGTGAGTTCAGCAGCAGTGCTGGCCCTTCCCTGCTGGCCTAGCAGGGATCTCCTCTGTGCCCAGCAGCTCCGAGCTGTGCCAGCCTGAGGACCAGAGGGCTTTTCAGGCTGGGGGCTGGAGCAGGAGCTGCTCTTTGCTCCCCAGGGCATCCCATCCCCTGGCAGCAGCAGGATTTTCTCTGTCCTCTCTGCTTTCTCACTGGGTTTCACACCTGGGGAGGGTGGTGGAGCTGCAGGCAGGTGTCTCGTGGGGTGTCTCACCCTCTGAGCTGCTCAGCACCAACCAGTCTGGCCCGGTGGGGTCAGTGTGAACATAAACCAACCTCTTGAGGAAGCAGCAGACGTCAGGCCTGGCCCCTGCTCATCAGCTCCAGGTCCCTAATGACGCAGCTGCTATAATTAGAGGCAGGGGGTGCTGGCTGGTCCCAGCCTTGCCTGTTTGCCAGGCAGGCCTTTCCCTCCCGACCCCAGGTGGAGGAGCTGAAGGCAGCAGATCCTCACAAACGCCTGCACTGGGCTAAGTCAGGGGTTTCAGGGATTTGGGATGGGGTGGGAGAAGCTGCTGACAGCCTCAGCCAAGGGGTGAGTCCAGGCAGCAGCAGAGAGTCCTGCAGGACTGAGCTCCAGAAGCTCCATCACCTGGACTTTCAAAGGGCTTATGTTTCTGTTTTGTGGGATAATTTTATGGTCTAACCTCCTGCCAGGGAGGAGGTCGGGTCACAGGGCTGCCCTCTAAGCTCTGTTCCTCGAGCCGAGGAAGAACAACGGGAAGCAGCTGCCTGGAGGGGGAGGACTAAGCAAATCACTTAGGGAAGTTAGGTGAGAAAGCACCTTAAGCCCAGCTCCTCCAAAGGAACTGAGGCACCTGATGTCTACAGCAAACCCTCAGCCACCCTGTGCACCTGGAGAACACACGAAGAAGCACTAATCCAACCAGGACTGAACCCCCCAGGAACACCCTTCCACCTGGCAGGTCCTCCCTTACCTGTCCACGCTGATGATGCACAAGGTCATGATGGAGGCCGTGCAGCACATGACATCCATGGCAATGAAGACGTTGCAGAAAACCTTCCCAAAGAGCCACTCCCCCCCCAGCAGGTCCGTGATGGTGACGAAGGGCATGACGGCGAAGGCCACCGAGAGGTCGGCGGCAGCCAGGGACACCACCAGGTAGTTGGAGGGTTGGCGGAGCTTCTTGACGATGCAGACGGAGATGATGACCAGCCCGTTGCCAGCGATGGTCATGAGGATGATGATGGAGAGGACAGCTCCAATGACCACCTTCTCGGTGTCCCCGTAGGGCAGGATCTCCTCGGCGCAGCCCGTCAGGTTGGTGAGGTTGGGGGAGGATGGTGGGTCTGGCCGGGCTGGGGTGGGGAGTTCCTCAGGCATGGATGGAGTCGGGAGCTGTTTCCCAGCTGGGTGCTGCTTCTCTGGCTCCTCCACCAAGAGGAGATGGTGCTCCAGAAACCTTCTGGGGCTGGCCCTGAGCAACATGCTCCGAGCTCGCCGCGGCAGGCACCGGGTGTCTCCCGGCAGTGACACCTCCAGTGAGAAACCGGAGCAGTTCGTCACAAAAACAGGCTGAGACAATAAAACATCACCCCCCCCCTGCAACCACCACCACCACCACTACCACCCTCTCCTCCAGCTCGTGGCTCCCAAAGCTCTGCCTGGATCTCAGGTGCTCAGCCAGAAGCTGCTTCCCAACTCTTCCCAGCGCCGTGGTCCGTCTTCTGGAAGGCGCAGGGTTTGCTGGAGGGAGCTGGTCCCCGCTTGGAGAGGAGCACAGGCTGCCTGGTGCTGCTCCAGGAGGACAGACCTCAGCTGGTGCTCACTGCCGTGTTTCTTACTCCTTCCTGCTGGGCTTTCCCCACCCCCCCAGCCCTCCGAAGCT